TTCAAATAACACATTTGCAATGTGTACAGCACACGCAACATTTGGATGTAAGCATTTGGCACACCTGCCACTGACAACGCCGCGATTAATGCTGCATGGTCGATTTTGTCAAAAGCTTTGCGTAGATCAAGACTCGTGCGGGCACGGTCAGATTTATCTTTGCATTGTCTCCGTTGCGCAAGTAGATATAAGAAATATTTGTCGATGCTATGGCTTCATATCCAAATCATCAGTATGTGTATGTGCTGCCACGTCAATCTTCCGCCTAATCCCCATGGAACTGCAAAATGTCCAATCTGATGTCACGTCCTGCCCATTTGCAATGAACATCTTGAACATGTGGGCGGTTTGCGATAGCATATCACCCCGATCTCCGACATGAAGTTGCGTGTTGAAATCACCCCCAAGAATGATGGCCATATTGTGTCTCGTTGCTTCCTCAAGGACAAGCGGAAGGAATCATACATGCGTCTCAACTCCTTTAGGGGATGTTGCGCACGCGGCATGTAGACGGATATGATACGCATCTTACCTCCACCATTTTGCAGATCAACATACATACAGCAGCATCCGCGGTGCAGAAGCGTTTCTTCTTCTCCGCACCTTTTTTTGTGATTGCGGGGTACGACGGGTCCCCGCGCAACCTGCAAGCTACGTGCCGTGTGGCTGGTCAGGCCGCGGGCGGCCGCTTCTGGGGAGTTGGGGGGTCAGCGGGTGGTTGGCCAGGGAGTTCCTCAACCGCCCGTGTTTAGCCTTATCTTTCTAAATTTGGCGGGCGATGCGTTGGCGCTGCTCCGACGATTCGTTCGCGCTCCGCGTAGGCCGCGCTGCCGCGGCCCTGGACAGCCCTCCCGGCGCTTACCGCATCGCGAGCACACGCCCAAAGCTTTCTGGAATTGCTTGTGCCGAAGAAAACAAAATCCACACCATAACAAGAAATTAATTTAGCACCTTGCCACGACAAGGCATAAAACTCCCACCACAACAAAGCATGAAAACCTTACCACAACAAGGCATCAGCACCAGAACAACAACACATCAGCAGCAGCAGGACACACCAACTGGTCTTTCGGTGTGGATGCCTGCTGAAGTGATGTCCCATCCCAGCGCCAAGACCGAAATCCGCATTTTTTGGCGTGGCTGACGAAGCCTGTGCGCTTTTAAGGCATCGGCAGGTGTCTCGCAGGCCGGTGTATCTGCCCAAGTGCCTCGCAACTTCCTCCGGGCAACAGTAGCCACTACGCCCAAGCGTTGGCATAACTCTCCCAGCATGGCCAAGAAAAGCTTTAGCAAGTGTCGTCTGCCCATTTCCTCGCTGCTGCTTTCATCAGAGCTTTCGAGCGTTTTTTCGTGGCATAATGTACTACATCATGCTGGAAATATGTCAGCTTCCTCTTTTTCACGGGCGAGTCTTGCTCCAGGCCAAACACTGGAGTCGATGGGCCGCTGGCCATGAGCCCCCAACTACAGATACACCCAAGCACAAGCTTGGGCTGTGGTTCTGCGAAGTAATCAGTAGGGACAGTAGGAATCTCGTTGCGCCATGCAGGCGACAATGCAGTTCCGAAATGTCGTCGGAACTCCAGCCAAGCAGCTGCTGCAAAATTCAAACTGTGTTTAAGTCGAAACGCCTATCAAAAGGCTCAACAGCTGTATCTGACAACGTCGCAAAACTGCATGAAGCTGTTGCCAGAGCCCCTAGGTGCTATCAAATTTTGCCTAAACGAAAGTGCCGACCAAAAGCATACAGTGCTGTATCTGACAGACATCCGAAGCTGCTGTAAGGGCAGAACGTGGAGATGAGGTGGTCGGGCGTTGGGTTGACGAGGTATGGGCGCGCCTCCGCCAGGAGTTCATCTGGCCCGTCCATGGCAAGCCCATCCATGGCAAGCGATGTTCCGCCAAATGTATGCCGATGTTGATCAAGGCCTTGTTGCACATCGCATGAAGTAGCGCTGCGTCCCATCTAACCGTGTGCATGCTCGATTGAGTTCCCACAATTCTCAACGGAAGTCCACACGAGCACACACTGTTCGCCTTCAGCCTAAACCGTGAAGCAAAAACATTGTCCGTATGGTTGGAAGGCTTGTCACTGTGTCCCTAACCGCCCCAATCCTTGTCGTGGTAAGGACCTGCTGTGTGCCAGCGACTGCGTGGAGGCGCCGTTGGGGAACTTCCGCAGCAGCGGCGTAGTGGCCTACTGCCCTAAGGTGTAAGCCCACGACTTTTCAACGGATGGAAAAAATATGTGAGAAAAAACGGATGGCCACAGGGAGGCCAGGAGAACGGTGTTTTCCGCCTCAGGAGTGTCCAAGGAATCCGCGTATCCATGAAAGCCGTGACAATGAGGCGACGCTGCTGGCACGGAAGGCCTGGCATCCCCAAGGGAGTGCTCAGGAGGCGCTTCAACCAAAAAGGCTTAGGACGTATAATCCGACCCGTTACGTTCCTCCACCGCAAGCCCGCGTGCATGCGCTGCGGGTGTGCGTTTGTGCGTGACAGCGGCGAGACGAGTGTGGCGTCGCAGCACAGGGCCACCTGGGGCGTGGCTCCGTAGATGGCACAAGGGGCAGCAGGAGGTGCAAGCGGCGCTGCTTCGGGCGGAACGACGCAGGCCGCCTCACAGGGGATTGCAGTCAACTAGGCGCCGGCCTGTGGGCCAGCCTGCGACTGGAGGAGGGCGCAAGCGGATGGCGACAAAGATGGAAGCGGCTTGCGTTCGCGAAGGTAAGTAAAGGTTGCGAATACGCGATGCATTGCACTGCCATCCGTGCGGCCAGTCCCTCAAGCCCTGATCGCTCGAACGAGGTGGACGACCGCCCGCTCCAACTGCTTCCCAGACAGGCACTCGTGCCAACCTTCCGCGTGCTGAAGTTCAGTTGCCTCACCTGCGCTCCTGAGGCTCGGAGCTCGCCCGCCGCCTATAGCATGCAGGGGAGTGCTGGTGGAGCTCCAGCTGCGCGTCAGCCCATGGCGCGGCCGGCGCTGTCCGAACAACAGAACTCAAGCCCAAACTGCCGAGGGCCGCAGGTAAGGTTGCGACGTTATGCGCGGGTGCGACGTCTGCTGTGGCCACGCCGCCGAGGCAGAGCTCCAACGTCTCCCAAATCCCCACGTCAAAGATCCACGGCTTGCGGGGGCACGGCGCGCAGCGTGTGGTTGGCTCGCCATTAGTCGCATGCACATCGCGAGGAGAAGCAACGCACACTGGTATGTCGCAGCTCAAAACACAGTTTCGGGGCCCGTATTGTTAAACAAGTTGCTAAACAGAAGTCTTCCATCAACTCGGGCAGATCGAGCGCAGTGTGGCAACGACAGTCAAACATCCGACCGCGATGACCCAGGCAGAGATGCCGGCAGTGCGGGAGGCAAAGGACGCCGCATCACAGCTCCACCGCCCCCCGTCTTCAACACGAAAGACTAAAAGCCGCACCAAGATTTGCCAGCATTGAACAGGCCAGGCGCCTCGACCTGCGTGCCGGTCGGGAGCGGCCATCCGACCCCAGCATGGCCCCTGACCTGCATGGGACAGCTACATCCGGGTGCCGGAGCACGCGGATGAGCTATGCACTGCCCTCGCCTATCCTTGAACTTAATGCTGGCGGGTCGGAACAACAGGATACGCTGGAACGAGTCCCACATGAGCACAGGGAAACCGTTGGGTCCGGCACGCTGCTAGGGTTTTGGGTGTCTTTGTAGTATAAACAAAAAAAACAAGGAACCCTGGGGAATAATCTTGGTAATTACTCGAACGAATGGTGCTCTGTGGGATTCTGTAGGCAATCCAGTGTGCGGGGCCACCTGCCCGTTCGGCTTTAAGGCCTCGCAGGCTGGTCGGACCGACTGCTGGCTACCATCGTGGCCTGTGTGGGGCATGCAAGTGCGTGATCGCATGGTGGTCAACCAGCTGGCGCCATCCCGGCTTAAAGCCTCTGCGGAACACGGTCAGCATGGGCATCGGCAACCGCAGTCAGACGGCGTCGCAACGCAAATGGCATATAACGGCATGGCGTGCGGGGATCCAGCACTCGGGCCGTCTCGCTCGGCTCCGCTTTCTGGCACGGCCCAGCCTGTGCGAGCGCAACATCGCTTGAGAGCCGGGCACAAGCTGGGCAGCCTTGCCAAGCACGAAAACAATTTTGAAGCTTCAGAGAGAAGAGAGACTTCCTTCTCAAGCTCTGTTTGAAGTCCTTTTCCAAGCTCCCCTTCTCAAGTCCCCTTAAATATTGCGAATGGACACACTGACGACCGCTCCAGAAGCCATACTACGACCTCAGATTCGATCTATGGCGACTTTTATGACAAAAAACGTTTCAAACATGAGCATTTACACCGTATGCCGGACGAGCTAGTTTGTTCACCGCCACAGCGCTTCCAGACCGTGTTGCGAATTCGTGATAGGCGACAGCCTCAATCATGACGTCTTGCGCAAGCCGAATGATTTCAGGCGCGTGCTGCGGCTGGCCGCGCCGCGATTCGTGGCACGGCATGGCGCACGACCAACCAAGCTGAGAGCCGCAATGGCCTCTCGCTCTCCATGCGAGGACCCGTTGAAGTTCGCATATTTGCGCATTGAACTCTCGTGCAGACAGCATACATCAGCATAGTGTAGTGTGGCCCATCGCTGCCGGCCTACGATGCGTCAGAACCGCTGGCGTCCGCAGCGTATAAATAAAATGCCAGGGGTTGGAGAGCCATCCCGAAACAAGGTTGGTTCCGAATCCGCAGGGATGTCGAGACCGTTTTTGGACACAGCAGCTCAGCGACAAGCCGCAGCTTACAGGTCCGGTTTGACTGGCAAACTTCTTTTGCCCAACTCTGGTGTGCCTTGAACCCTGATAACCCTGAGGCAACACGTACTAAAACACAGATTCATCCCAAGTCCGCTTTCTACAACTTTTTCCACGGCAGGCCGAGATGCTTTCGGCGAACACCTGTCTTACGGGGTCCGCCTTGTCTCTGCCCACGAGTCGCCCTCTTTGGACGCCAGGCCTCTAAGCTCACAAGTCCACCCGCCGTCGCTTGCCCTGGCGTTTCCAGGGCGCCTGTCGCGGCACGGAGAGCACCGAGGACTCTGAGTCTGACTGTGAAAAAGAAGGCGGCTCCTCGGCTGCATCATCGTCCCCAAGGAGCAACTGAGAGTAGGCCTGGAGACGTTTCTCCGCATCGTCCTCACACAACGAGCACAGTCCGGAGCACGAGTCAGAGAAATTTATCAGGATTCTCCCTTACCTCTTCGAGACTTCTTAGGAGTGCAGTGCACTGCAGCTCTGAATCCTCGGCATGAGGCGCAATGGAAGCACTCTTGGACATCGGCGTCATGGGCGTCATGGGCGTCATGGGTGTCGAGGGAGTCATGGGGGTCATGGGGGTCATGGGGGTCATGGGAGTCGCAGGGGTCATGGGCGTCATGGATACCAAAGGTGTTGGGGTAAGGGGTGGCGGTGGAATCGGTGCCGATGTTTGCTGTTCAAGCAGCAGCTTGATTTCTTGAAGTTTCCTATCTCTCTCACGCTGTGAGAGCATAGGTCCCGGTGTCTGGGGGACTTCTGATAGACCCGGGGTCGTCACCATACCGGGGACTGGTGGCGGCACCTTGACAATGGCTTTCTTGGGAGCCGGTCTCGTCCGACGTTTTGCCACCGGCTGCTTTGCAGTGGCAACGGGCTGCAGTGGCTGCAGCTGCGGCTGGCTCAGGACTTCCACTGACAAGGTGGACTTGGGCTCCGGAAGTGCCGGAACCTCCAGGTACGGATCAACGAGAACCTGGACATGCTCGTCGTCCTGGTCCTTCTCGGGCCGTCGCCTAGGATCACGGGCCGGCTCCTCGTGTCCACCAGCTTTAGCCGTCACAGTGCCTTGCGGTGTCTGCACCTCATCCTCCACCAATTCAAGCTTGACGGAAGTTGGCAGGCCAGGAAGCGAACGCTTCGGCTTGACGGTTTGCTTGCTTGGCTTCTCCTTCTTCCCCGTCTTCCCTTTCTCTTTCTGATCTTGCTCCGCTTGCTGGGCGTGCTGCGGCTGTGCCAGAGCCACATGCTGTGCCAACTGCTCGTTGCTGTCGTTCGAAGCTTGTAATGTCTTGGTGCTCGTGGGCTCCGCTTTTACTCGTTCGAACGCAGGCGTAGACGGCACAGGCTGTCTCTGCACTTCCCGCTGAGCGGCCGCGGGTGCTTGTATGGCCTGGGCCTGGCTCACGCCGCCGGCACCGTTGGCTTCGCTTCTTTCCGTCGCCGCAGGCGCCGGCGCTGCTGGCGCCGGTGGCGCCTCTGCGGGTGCCACTGGCGCTGGTGCCTCCTGCAAACGGTCACAACGCTGATGCGGAGTGCGTATGAAGGAGGACGGCGCACAACGCGGCACCCGCCTGCTTCACGGGCCAAGGGCCAGGTTTGCTCGAGCTCGCACCTTGGCGGCATCGAAGATCAAGATGAGAGCTCACATGAGACGTGGCCCTTCTGCAAACGTGACGTGACGAAGCTTAACAAGGCAGAAAGCGAGGACTGCAAACTCTGGGCAGGATGCGATGCATGCGGCACAACTCCAAGACTCTACGTTCCCGACACAAGTGCAGCTTCACATTTATCACCCACGGCTCTCGGCAAGAGCACCACCATTGGAGGCACCGGGAGATCCGAGCAATTGCCACGAAACCGAGCGGAACACATGCAGCAGGACAGGCTTCAATCCAACCACGGAACCAACTGTGGCTTCGTTCGGTGTCTGATCCCCAAATGACTGCAGCCTACCGCCCTCTGCAGAGGAGAGCTATGTACAAGAAAAGGCGACTCAGGCAAAGTCTTTTGCGTGTGTCATTCATCGTAAATCACCCTTGGCTGAAAATCTTGCAGATTATGGCAGGAGTGAAGCTGAGCGATGCAGCCCCTGCAGCCCAGTCTCCCGCAAGTTCTCCTGGCTACGCAGCTCCTCTCGTCAACCAGCATGCACTCTTCGCCCAGCCGGTCACCTCTTTGGACGAAGCCTCGCAAGCAGAAGTGTCTGCAAGACAGCTTGGACTTGGACACCGACATCTGTGGTGGCAGTTGAGATGGAACGCGGCCAGGGTGCTGTGGAGGCAGCTAGCTCTGTCAAGCTCTCGACAGTCTACTTTGCCTCGTCTCAGCTGGCCAGTACCTGACTTGTGCCCCATGCAGGTGTCAGCATTGCCTTCATGAAATTAGCTTCCCATTACAGCAACGGTTCTCATGCAGAGCTAGTGCAGGCAGTGGCACATGGCTGGTGACACGGCAGGGTGCCCTTGCAGACGCCAGAAACCTTATTTACATCGAGAAGGCATTCCAAGAGAACGACCTGCATGACCTGCAACCCTTGATGTTGATACAAAACACTTGCGAGCATCTGACATGTCGTCGAGTGTCGGCGGGCTTTCCGGTTGTTCAACATACCAACATGCACCGAGAGAGGCTCTTGCTTGCAAGAAGCATCCAGGCTGCATTGCACCAGCTTGCCCCCACAGCCATGGTACAATTTCAGGCAACCATCATAAGCCTCGCAAGGGTCCTTGTTTGTACAGGTGCATACGGAATACAATAGCAGTCAAATGGTCAAACCCATGGAGCTGTGGCATCCAAGGTTCTGTGCCGTCCTCACTGCAGGTCAGCATCGTCCCGTTGCAGGTGGACAGGCCCACCTTTGGTATATCCTGAGACTTTACCGGCGTGAACAAGCCTGAGGAGGACTATGCCATAGCCTCGTGAAATGTCGGAGGTGACTCAGGCGGCCGCGAAGTCTGAGGGAATCAGTTTCCTCCAGTACTCGCTCTGGAAGTTGACTCCGTCGTCCGAGTCTTCGCAGGTCCCGTACAAAATGGTGCAGTGCTTGAACACGGCCTGCCATCTCACCTGAGACACCGATCTCTCATCTCGCGCAAGCCACAAGCTCCAGGTCCAAAGGCTGCCGAAATTTCCCCCCGAAAAGGCCCGGACTCCTACGCAAAGGTCACCCTCTGTCGTGCATTGCTTGATGCACGCATGCTTGCTCTCCGTGATCTTGTCATCGTACTTGCCTCGGCTGTGGGTGCCGCTGAATGGAAACGGAGTGCGTGTGCATGCAGACGACTACTTCCGCATGCACAGTGTACATGTTGATGCATTCCAGCATTTGAACACCCTGCACGAGGTCAAGCCATGCCCCCAATCCGATTCAAAGCAGACGGCCACTCACTACCACCAACACCTTGATACTCGTAGAGACCTGCTCTCACATAAACTGACAAAAATGAACGTTCGATGGTGCTGGACGAGATGCCGCCGGCTTCGTCACAAGCCTTCCTGCCGCAGGGCGAGACAGCACTGGTGAACATGTTGAACGTGTCTCCGGCACTAGAATGCCTGGAATGTGCAACGCTCGTGCTGCAGTAGAGTGCGGCAGAAGTCCCATTCGGGTTTAAGCAATGGTCGTCTCGCAAAGCTTCATATTGGACCTTCGCAGACGTCACGCAAGAGCATGTCAGCTCGCAAAGTGTGCAGGTTCTGAGGTGTTGAGACCGGCGGCATCCGGATACTTGCCGATAACTTGGCCTGAAGGGAAAGCCGGTCTTCGAGCGTGGGCCGTGCACTCGTGCGCTGCGACCGACACCTGAAGCACACCGAAGGCCAAGCAGTACTGCGAGCGTCGGCCTCCCAGGAGGAAAGGCTTTTGACACGGCGTGGGACTACCAGCAGCACCTCCAACATCTCATGTCTTGTAATGCACAAACTACGAAGCCACCTTGAGAAAGATGGCTACGGGCCGGCAGCGCACAGGCACCAAAGGCTCGCTACATCTATAGCGCTAAACCTTTTGCTGGCCCCACTCCAAGCCCGGGGCTCAGCTGGCCAGGACCTGGCAAAGCTGAAAGAGGCGACCCTCCACATCCAAAGGGACCATCTGATCCTCGCCTGCATTCCATTTGCCTGCCTGACAGGGGCCGCGAGCAGCTGCAAAGCCTTGATGAAAAGACACCTGCGACTCGGCCTCAGCTTGAAGCAGCAACTTGTCAAACTCCTCCATTTCGTCCTGCAGTGCGAGATCTAGCCTAGGCCTAGGCATTTCCAGCAGTGACCATGAAGCAGGGCTTCTGCACAGTAGCACAGCATAGTGCACGGTCCACCAAAGGCGGCGGCTTAACGACTTTCACAGGCACGGCCCGCGCAATGGGCCTAAGAGTACTCACCACTCCTATGCTCATGCTGATGTCCCTTCAACTTAAGCCTATCTGCGCTCAGCAGTCAGCTTGACGATGCCGGCGCCTTCGGCCTCCGGCGGAGGACCTTCTGCACCGGCAGGCAGTGACGAAGCTTTTGCTTCTCAGGCTCCTGGCCGCCTGGCCTGCTTCCAGCGGCAAAGCAGAAGGCAGAGGTGCGAGTGTCTGGCTCGCAGTCTCCACTTCCTCCATGCCTCCGACTTCGCCATGTGATACTTTGCAGCTGGTGCAAGTCCACTAGTCCGGGCCCCCCACTTGGTGGAACCCAAGCTCCAGGGGTGGTGCCACTGGCTGCAGCCTCGTGCTCTACTTCGTTGCAAATTCATGTACTCCCAATATCTCTGGGTGCCCCAACCGATCGCGGCTCCGGCCATGCGGGGGCTGCCTGTGCCCAGTAAGCCGCCTCAAGCAAAGCAGCGCTACGTGCGCGGAGATCTTACGCTGCATCTCTGCTCTGTCAAACAAGGCAGTGGCAGGAGATGGCAAGCCGTATCCGGCGGACCAAGGCCTGTCCGTGACTTCCGTCGCTTCCCTTTCTGAAGCACGAGGCGGCGCAGGCAGCAGCTCTGCGAACAGGGACGGCACCCTTCAGGTTCCGCGGGCACAACCTTTACTCGAGGAATGCCCTTGGTTGGCGGCTTCAGCAAAAATGCAGAGTAGCAGTTCGCGAGGTGTAGAAAACCTTCGCAAAGTCTCGGTTGCCGGCACGGGGAGGCAAGCGGCGCCGGCTCCGGCTCCGGCTCCGGCTTCGGCTTGGACTGCGGCTGTCGCGACGCGCGTCACCTGCAGAGATCCAGCGAACTTTCACCAAGCATCCAATGTCGCGCACATGAACAAATACAATCTTCAGAACTTCGAACTCTTTGAACATCCCTGCACTGCCTCCGTACAATTCGATCTCAATTGCAAGCAAGGTACGATCTACCCGCTCCCATGTAGACGTCTTTCGAGCATTCTTTCGGTCGACCCAGATAATGCCTCGGCCCACCACAACGACTGCTCACATAGACAGTAGCAATCAGAAGTGGTAGTAGTACAGTAGTAGAGTAGTAGTAGTAGTAGTAGTAGTAGTAGTAGTAGTAGTAGTAGTAGTAGTAGTAGTAGTAGTAGCAGTAGTAGCAGTAGTAGCAGTAGCAGTAGCAGTAGCAGTAGCAGTAGCAGTAGCAGTAGTAGTAGTAGTAGTAGTAGTAGTAGTAGTAGTAGTAGTAGTACTAGTACTAGTACTAGTACTAGTACTGGTACTAGTACTAGTACTCGCTTCTTTTTCGTTGATTCTCGAGTTGTTTTTGATTGACCATCTTGGTCAATGACCGATCACACGTATTGGTTGCTGGGACCCCGGTCCGGACCGCAGAGCATTGCTTGGCTCCTCGGAGCGATGCCTTATTTTAGTTGCTCGGGAGCGTCTGTCAGCCGGGCAACACGCCCGCTCAAATGGCCCGCTAGGCAGACTCGGACTCTGTCGCGATCGAGAGAGAGAGAGAGAGAGAGAGAGTTAGTAGTAGTAGTAGTAGTAGTAGTAGTAGTAGTAGTAGTAGTAGTAGTAGTAGTAGCAGTAGTAGTAGTAGTAGTAGTAGCAGCAGTAGTAGTAGTAGCAGCAGCAGGAGTATAGTAGTGGTAGTAGTAGCAGTAGTAGCAGTAGTAGTAGTCGTAGTCGTAGTAGTTGTAGTAGCAGTAGTAGTGGTAGTAGTAGTGGTAGTAGTAGTAGTAGCAGCAGTAGTAGTAGTAGTAGTAGTAATAGTAATAGTAATAGTAGTAGTAGTAGTAGTAGTAGTAGTAGTAGTAGTGGCAGTAGTAGTAGTAGTAGTAGTAGTAGTAGTACTAGTACTAGTAGTACTAGTACTAGTACTAGTACTAGTACTAGTACTAGTACTAGTACTAGTACCAGTAGTACCAGTATTAATAGAAGTAGCAGCAGCAGGAGTAGCAGTAGGTAGTAAAAGGTTTGTACATACATACCGTCCTTGCACAGCCCTCCTTGCCCTCCCGAATGCAGCGCTGCGTCGCTCGATGTAAACTGTGCCCACATTTGCTTATGCATTCGTTCTCGGTTGGACCTTCCGTTTTCTTTCTTCGTACCTTCCGCGTCCTTCCAGGCACTAATGCCAAGCCAGGATGAGTGTCAATAAACAGCCGACTACTTCTCTCTGTAAACAGGGGCAAACTCACGGTGCGTAAAACGTTTCAGATCAGTGTAGCACATCCTTAGCAAGATTTGCTGAAAGCCGTATTTTTAAATTTTTGCTTTCGTGCGAAAAGTTCATGCTGAAGCCAGCACAGAATACCAGGCATGCGACGATTCTCGGAGCTGTTCTCCAAGTCCAAGTCGTAGTGGCCTCAGCTGACCATCTTCTCGCCACCGACCGCGGTGCACCAGCATCATAAACTTAGGCTGCCGACCGCAAGCGAACTGCCCAGATCCAACAGATTTCACATCCAACTTGATGGGTGGCCTGCCTGCCCAAATTCCCAAGCTCCAGTTTGCCACGTAACGACGCACCACTCTCTGAGCCCTGGGCTGCTATACGGCTTGGAAAGGAGCACATTCAACCTCAGCTCTTCGATATCTTTTTTTTATGTCAGATATCCGCATGAAAATGGCACACCAAAAACCATGCACGCAAGCCCTCTTTTGCATGGTGGATTGGTGTGGCTGCCGACTCCCGGGATGTTCCTTCGGTCGAAGACCTCAGCCAAGAAAGAGGCCGTTTCGAAACACAGGAGGGTCCCCTCCTTCAGGGCCTACGGCACCTGTGGATCGGGAACCCTCCTTGTACAGAAAAGAGTTCCAAAATTTTGTGCCGTCCAGAAAGAAGCCTGTACAGGAGGCAGCCACATCCTCACCGGGCGCCCTGCGCGGGCCCATGGGTGAGGTCAGAAGGATCGTCGAAAATACGATCTTCCTTATTCCTTATTTGCACACCGGAATCCAATATGTTTTCTATGGAATATGTATCCATATAAATGTGCGAAGGTCCCTTGCTCGCGCAACTCTATTTTTCCACGTGGGATGCTACACTCCGTGCCGTCTTCCTTCAGACGGCTAAGGGGTAGGCTCAAAAATTCTGGGTCGGGAGGGCGGGACAAGTTTTCCCCGTGCCCACACTTGAGAGGAAAGTCGCCGGAGCCACACTTCATCTCACTGCCCGGAAAACTTGCAAACGTGATTCCTAATTTCAGTTTAAAACAAACATGAAATTTGTGCAAAACTGAATAAGGAGTTCATCCTTTCTGCTTCGGGAAGTTTAAAGGAGTAAACTCTTATTCCTTATTTGCACACCGGAATCCAATATGTTTTCTATGGAATATATATCCATATAAATGTGCGAAGGTCCCTTGCTCGCGCAACTCTATTTTTCCACGTGGGATGCTACACTCCGTGCCGTCTTCCTTCACCCCGATCATCTACGGCATGACCTGGTCCCACGGAATAGCACGCCTTGCAGCACCTCTTTTTAAAAGAGGCTCAAATTCCAGCCGTGAGGGATTGTCTGCTATGTTGCAAGCAGTCGGTACGCGAGCGAACCACGTCTTCAGCTGCAAAGTGGTTTCAAGCTGAAGGAAAGATTCAATCACAGCATTGGCGAGTGAGCCACCGCCAAAGGTTCGGATCAGAGAATGGCGAGCACCATCATTGTCAAGATAAAACACCACTTGAGCTCCTTTCAAGCGCTCTGCCCAAATGACAAGGCTGATCAGTGCTGGAATCAACTCAAGCTCGAAAATGGGATTTGCGCTGATGCTCAAAAGCTGCTGCATCATATCACTTGGAACTGCCTCACCGAAGAACTCGCACGGAGTACCAGAGGCATTCACAAGGACGCCTCCGACACCTCCCGTGCCTTCCTCTGGATTGCAAGCCCCGTCAGTGAAAACGATCAGTGTTGTGATGAGGTTTCGCTCGACAACTAAAGGTTGGCTCAGGGCTATTCTTTCACGAAGCCACGTCAACGCCCACAACAAATCTTCAGTAAGATTCTGAGGGGCAGACTTTTCCACGCACTTTGCAACAACTCGCTGAGCCCGGTTAGAAACCCTTCCAAAGGTGAAACCCTCGAAGAAAACCATACGACCCCTAAGGCGTTCGGCCGCCTTCGAGTCGATCTTTCCTTCCTGAAGGATGGTTTGGATGTACTCGGTGAGCTCCTCCTTTCGCTTCTGAGTATGACCCACACGAAGGATCCGCTGCTTCACACAAGACAGATCAACAGAGAGGCCGAGCATGTTGAAGGTAACTCCAAAGGGTTCGGCTTTGGAGCCGTCCTTTGCGAAGCGGAAACCAAGCAGGTCAAACAAAGTTTCCACAGTCCACTGGGCATTCGATTCCAGGCTCTTCGCAGAAACTATGCTGTAGTCATCGAAAAAGGCAGACCAGAATAGCCTGAAAAGGACTATTCCAATCTTCCACAAGGCGATACTTATCCTTAGGAAAGCAGCGACCGACCCCACCCCTCCAAAGGGGAGGGCGTTTACGCCCAAGAAGCTCGGCTTGTGGTGGCCTGGCCTGTTGACAGCAATGCGTAGCCTTTCACGGTCAGCAGCACACACACCGAATTGCTTGTACGCTGCTGTAAGGTCGAAAGTTCTGCCGCAGCACTCAGGCATAACACCGGACACGACATCAAAGGCATGAGCCATCATGGCCGCAAGCTTATCTATCGTATGCAAGCAAAACTTTTCCAGCAAGCCCACTGTCGCGTTTAGGCCGCAACAAGAAAGGTCATCAATGACCCTCAATTTGTTCTGCATGATTCCGAAGCGCATAGCAATCGAGACCATCTCAGGAACCGGCCCTTCCTCAAGCCACACCCAACCTGCGTCAATCTCCTTTTGGGTTTCAACCCAGGTGGATTCTTCAATTTCGGAATCCTGCCTCCTGGACAGCTTTTGCAAGGTCGCTTTGTTCAAGCCCTTCGACAAAACTCCCAACGTCTCGACACTGAATTTGGGCCGTCTGGACCTCGGCACAAACTCACCCGACGCGGGAAGCCAGCCCGACAACTTGAAACCTTGGCATATATCAGAAACAAGGTCGACATCCTCACACCCTGCGGCTCTCATCATCTCTTGGAGAAGCAATAGCTTCTTTCCTTTAAGTATGGGCCGCAGGTGATCAGGGAGATTTTGGTGAAGTTCCTGCTCCTTTTCCTTGAGGGCCCCTGCACGACCAATCCAAAACTTCATTGCATCAATCCTGAAGGACGCAAGTTCTGCCGGAGGAGCCTCAAAGTTAGCACGTGCACTAACGGTGACGAAAGGCTCAACATGGACTGCCAAGGACCGTGGGTGGCCTGCCGCAATAGCTCTCGCAACAAAGACCTCTTCAGAGCACGGTACACCGACTTGCACAAGCTCTGCACAAGCAGGCGGATGCAAAGGGTCCAAGCCCACGATGTTTGTTTTTGGCTTGCCAACTCCTTCGAGGAGACTCTTCAGCGAACCCCACTCACACACACGTCTCGAGAAGATTCTGGAGCCCTTTGGAAGGGAAGAAAGCACAGCTTCCAACGGCTTGTCACATTGCACTGGCACAACGAAATCCAACGTAGTGTCAAACTCCCACACAAGCGAAGGCAAGGAGTTTCCCCTGGGTTGAGTGCCCAGATTGATCCTGGCGACATTCGCAGAAGGATCCTGTATTGCCTGCGCAAGCACACGTGGCCCGAAGGACAAGCTGGGATGCGCATGAACGATGCAACCAAGGATACGATCGACGAGGAGCGGGGGAAATTCGGGTTCATCTGCTGTGATGAAGCTCACCCGCTTCCTTTTCGAAATGAAAGGTCGCCACGGTTTGTGCTCGTGCGACCCGTCACAGCGACCCGCAAGCATGCCAAAAACGTCCTGTGACGACCAAAGCTGCATCAACTTGGGCCTGTGACCCCCATGCACACAGGCATGAAATTTCACAAAGTGACCCTGCACATGATTGGTCACCTGAGCACAGAAAGAAGTGTCCCAATAACGGCTGTTAGAAGGACTCTCCAAGACTGTCAGAATGCCAAGATCACAAGCCTCACATGCAATGTTTGCAAGCTGATCAAACAGTTGATTTGCACGCTCAACCTGGAGTTTATCACGACCACGCAAAGTCGGCAAGCCATCCGGATGCAACGCCGACCTCAAAGCATTTGGCATCTTCAAATCAAGTTCAACAGAACCCGGCTTACGGCGTTCACGCATGAAAGATGCGGTGCCCACCGGAGGTGAGATGAAAACACAGATGACGTGATGATACTCAACTCGCAAGAAATCGACAACTGCTTCAGCCTGAGCTGGATCACTCAAATCCATGATGACAGCTTGTTCACCAGCCCTCTTTCTAGAGGAATCAACTGCAAAAGGCCTGAAGCCTAACTTTGCAGCTGCCTTACTAAGAACGGCTGTCCCAGCACACAACTCGACGAAGTACATTCCCGCCGCCGACTGCCGGACACTGCCGGCATCACGCTGCGACGGCCTAACAGGGGAGAGGCACCTAGGGTCCCAGGAAACCACAAAAGGGCCTAAACCCAACGGAGACACAGAAAACCCGAGCCGCTCAGCGACAGCTCGTAATTCAGGCCGGAGCTCCTCGCACTGACGCACCGAATAAGCAAGCATGACAACTCTGCGACCTTTCCACGGCCTAGTCTCATGAAAATCTTTAGGCTTTGAGAAAAAGGTGGGGCCTGCGGCCACATCAAGCAGGCATCCCTCCAAAGAAGGGTCATTCAACGAAGCGACATCACCTCCAACCTTCTGAAACCAAAGTTCACCGTTCTCAAAGTCCGTCAAAGGCACCAACAATGTAGGGCCATCACGATTGTTCTCGTCGCGGTGCAAACCTGAGGCAAGATTTTCATGGATTGCAAGTGAAGAGTAACTGAATGCAGGGCACACCCGACTCACAAGCAGGTTGAAAACCTTGATAGAAAACGGGAACATGTCCATAGTCCTATGCAAACCCAAAATCCCGCCACGCCGGTAGACGCCCATGCTGAATCGGGCTCCACCCGATCCCTGAAATGCCCTAGGAGGATTTTGCGCCTCCTGAGGCAAAAGCTCCAAAAGATCCAGAGCTGCACTGGCTGTCAAGCACGACGGCTGCCGCAAGAGAAACTTCGCAAGAGCTTCAGGATCAGTGAACTGCGGCCTATTTGGGCGAGGACTAGAACCAAATTTAGGGGTATCAGGTGACACTGCCATTGGCACTTCCAGCTGACCGCTGGGCTTGGGTGAAATTTGCGCCAGGCCTTCACAAGGAGATTTCCTCGGCTCGACCTGCGACTTCATCGAGGCAAGAGCCCTCGCCTTCAACGCTTGCAACTTCTCTTGAAGAAGTGTTTTATCATTCAAGATTGACCCTTCCGCCGGTCCCCGCACCTGCTCAAGAGCACGGTACACCAACGGCTTAGTCTGCTCTCCAGCGGCTGCTGCACCAACAGTGCAGTCCTCACTGTGAGAAGAATCGTGCAACACAACGGACGACAATGACTCAGATAGTCACTCTTGCGCCTTGGCTTTGCACGACACTGCTGAATGCCCCGGCCTATGACACTTCGCACAGATGTGAAGGCCGCGGACACACTTAAGCCCTCCCTTGCACTTCTCAGTCTTAAGAGAGCAGCCTGAAGCAAGATTGAAATCCCAACAAACATTTCCATCTTCTGTCCTGCAAGAGTACTGCTTCAACTCTTCTGGCACAGTCCTACGTGTGCGCGCCTTCGCCTTCGCCTTTGCTTTTGCCTTGGCCTTCCCTTTCGGGACGGGCTGGGAGGAACTCTCCGCCCCATCATCCACAGGCACTGCCAAGACAGGGGCTGTCTGCTTCGGAAGCGGCAACAGGAACTGCTGAAGACGGACATCATACATCATTGCTGAAAACTTTGCATCAAGCGGCGAAACCCCGAGCGAGTCCACCTTGAAAGGAGGCGCAGCCTCCCTGGCCAAGAGCAGAAAAAGCTCCTTATCCGCACGCATGCATTGATTCAAACTGACTGGGCTATAACTCGGTGGCGGGGTTGCTGAAAGGCAATCCAGCATCTTCTGAACCCACCTCTGATGCACATCCCAAGATAGAAGGTGACAGTTGTCAAAAGCTATGCCTCTTCGCATCATGGCCCACTGAAAACGCAGAGGATCCGAAACATCACAAGCGATAGCCTGGTCACCAGGCCCCACCTTTATGACGTTTTGCTCCACCTGCAACAAGGAGCTCCTATCCTTGCCCAATGCAAGGACCTCAGCTTCCCTCTTGGCACATTTCGACGCAGGGATCCAAGTAAGGACTCCGGACTCGTATTGCTGATTTGCTAAGTCAAGAAGCTGATGCGAAGGCTCAAGCTCTCCAGAAATTTCCATTCCTGAAAGTCGCCGCCTCTGGAATTCCAGCCTGGCCCGTTTTTCAGGGACCGGAACCTTCCTGGTATGCGATGGATCAGACGGGTCGTGGGTGACCATGTCCCGGTAAGTCTGAACCACTAGAGTCGTGGCTTCGAAGTGCAGATGCCGCAAGATTGCGGTTTGCCCCATGGTAGGAGCAGCTCCGTACACCTTCACACTGAATTCATCAAACTGAGCCTCCGTAGGCGGCTGCTGAGGCGACCCTATCGCGAAAGCCAATGTCTTGAAGCACCGGATGCCTTGTGCCACCAACTTGGTATGCAGAGTCGCATCCTTCGAAGCTTCAGCACATCTCTGATTAAAGGCAGCCTCGCTTTCGATCACGGTCGACATCTTGGAAACCTACGTACCCTAGCAGCACAAACCTACAACGTGAGAAAACGCAATCAAACACCATGCAAATCTCTCACATGTTTGCATGCAACAATCTGCCATGGATCACATCTCGGGCCTCCGCGAGCAAACAAGTCAAAGCCTACTCCACGGCGTGCGCACATGCGAGCAGAAAGCATGCAACTGAAGACTCGCAAACAAGGCTCACTTCGGTTATTAGCCGCCTCGCTCAAACGTTCTTGTTGCAAATCCTACACTTGCTGAAGTCCCACCGGAGGTCCTCTGCCCGTATCTTGACATGCAGAGATCCTATGGCCCTTCCGCAAGCAAAAACCTTAGTGTAGCCGGTAGGGGCAAAATGCACCACTCTCGACTTCTCGTGCCTCCACACATCATGACCCTCAGGAACATTCACTACCAGCTTCGAGAACGGCCCCTCAGCCTCCTCCGCGCACGAGTCGCTGGAGGAAGAGTCCGTAGTGATATGCCCGGTGGCCTCAGCGTCGAGGGCTTCCTCATCGCCTGCAAGGTTTTGAGCAGCATCATCCCCTTCGATAGGAGAGGGCGGGTCATGTTCCTCCTTTATCACAACTACCTCTGAACGCTGATGCGAGTCAGCGGCTTTGCCCACCAAGCGCCCGCTACGAGTCTCATCTGGGAGAAAAACTCGATCCCTTATCTCCTTGATCATCCGCTCCAAGATCATCAAAGGATGAGCTGCAGAATCACGGGAGTATGTCAGGGCCATGCGGTGCGGCGTCGTGTGATATCCCAACAGCTGCCTGTCGACAATACTGATTCCCCTCTTTGCCGCATAGCTCAACATGGTACACTTGCAGCTATGCGATGATAGCTTTCTGTCAGCTTGCTTCGATCCAGAACCCGTTAGCAGATGTCTCAGCCACCTGCCCATCTCCTCAGTGTCCAGCGGCCTGACACTAGCAGCACCAGACTTATCCGGCGCCGGCATGACAGGAAATTCCGGAGGATCTGGAATGTTGAGTTCCTCTCTAGCAAGCTTCCACAGCCTCGCCCAGTTGGAACCCGCAACTCCCAAACCAGGAGCCACCATAGGAAGCAGATCGTGCCGCATAACTCGGCTCCTCATATTCTTATGGTACGCCACGGGGCACTCCACATAGGCAAGATTCTTCTGGTTGTCATAATCATAAATAATTCCTTCTGCATGCATCAGGTCTGACCATCTTGCCCGCGAATATACACACAGCAAAACTGCTCCAGCGAAAACGCGGTCCCAAGGGTCCTGTGCGTTCTCCAGCCGGTCGTGCAGAAGGGAGAGCTCATCCACCGTCAGCGGCGAAGCCCTGTTCCTCGGCCTCACCTCGCCACGGCACGCATTGCCAAGGCAACGCCTGCTCTTGACACATAGGTCCAGCTCCTCTACCCCCAGGACGTATCTGCAGAAAACCACTGCTTCATACGTAGCCTTTCTCGAAGATAAGCTGGCACCCCCATCCCTTTCAAGACAGAGGAACATGTAAAGCAAAATCTCGTTTGCAGGGAAAACCAGCTTCTTCTGACGAAGGAAAGCTTCATACTTCAAGAGACTCCTTAACCTCTTGCGAAGTGTGCCCGGGGCCTTTGCACCCAGCACATCGTAAGTCATGGCCTTCCTTTCATCGTCAGTGGGAAGTTCGCAAAGCTGATCCCGCACCTGCACACCTTCAGACCATCTGCCAATGAAAACAGCCCAAGCACTGACCGCTTCCAAAAGCTGTTCCTCGCGCTGCTGCTTCCACGAGGCAACCACTCTGTTAACAACGGCCATCTCGAAAATTCTAGTGACGACCCTTCCCGCCCTCTGCGGGTTCTTCGAAGGTTGCTCCAAGACGCCTTCTGGGACGCCAGGCTGCAGAGGCCTCTTGAGGCCAGTTCCATAAAACCCACGGAAGGAATCCTCTGACTGAGGAGTAAAAATACTTCCCCAGAAATCATTCTCCCAGACTTGCTTTACTTGAGGAACATCCAAAGTTTGGAAGGCTGCCGCCATCGACCTGTCCAGATTTCTAGCAGAAGCAGCAGAAGAGCCTGCCGCCGCAGACGACAAGCCCCAACCAGGAGCCTCCGCCGGAAGGCTCACTGAACCCTCTGAAGGCAGAGCAGCACCATCTTCCGACAAATCAACTTTATACCAGTCTCGTTCCGCAGCGGAATTCCCACAGGACCAAACATCTTCCTCGAAAACATCTAAGTTTGCAGAAAAAGCCCCATCAACGGAGTTTATCTCCAGATGCTCCCCGCTTGCCACACCTGCGGCCTGAGAGGCATCCTCAAGGGGATCGCAAGACAAAGCATTGTCACCAGGCTGCCCCGAAGACCTTCCATCCACCCCTTTCCAAAAGAATGTCAAGGGCAGACCATCTTCGGCATCGGAAGGCTCGGCTTCCGACTGCATCAGCGGAGACCGAAATAGCGAAGCCGAAGGCGACGCGCGTCGGCAGCCGCAAAATCCGAAGTAGCCAGGAAAATGACTCGGACAGCTCTGTTGACGCAGAAAAGCTCGTAAGAAAAGTCTAGGCCCAGGAAACGCAGCACCAAGCTATTCGTACGCGAAGCGCCCAGCAAATTTTCGAGGTCCAGCCCTCGAATCTCACTGCGCCAGTCCCGGACCTCTTCTTCCTCCTCGAGAAACAAGAGAAGAAGGCGCCGATGTGGCACCGGAGGCAGCTCGCGACGGCGCGCGGCCATCCCTAGCCGACAAGTTTTCCCCGTGCCCACACTTGAGAGGAAAGTCGCCGGAGCCACACTTCATCTCACTGCCCGGAAAACTTGCAAACGTGATTCCTAATTTCAGTTTAAAACAAACATGAAATTTGTGCAAAACTGAATAAGGAGTTCATCCTTTCTGCTTCGGGAAGTTTAAAGGAGTAAACTCAGGATAGAGCGGATGAGGGAAAAATGCTCGAGCACGGGTTCCACCGGCAAGCAGAGAGATGGAGTGAAACCTTGAAAGTTGGGATGAGTCAGATCATCAGCCCAAGTGTTGAAGTCACGCTTGACGTGGGAGGGTGCGAGCTGCATACCATGCCGGTGCAGCTGGTACAGTATCTCCATGAGGATGACCGACGTTGGCATCCTCTTGGACTTATCGTTCAGGAGCGAGTACACATTCCCTTGGTTGTCGCTGACCAGGGGGAGCCTGAGGTTCGGTATGAACGCAGGCGCCTTCTCCATGAGAAAGTGAGAAAGGATCAGTGTGCCAAACATCTCGAGGGCAGCAATGCGCTTTTTCGGGCAGCCCTTGTCAAATGCCCATGGATGCCGCTCTGCAGTGACCTGGTAGTGGAACCAGAACACTTCCGACTTGGACGGGGAGTCCGCGTTAGAAAGCCAGCCGCCCACATAGGCGCTGCCATCATCTGAGGCGCTAGCATCACTTGCCCCCGACCAAATGGCAAGCGGGGCATACGGCGATGCTTGTCGGAACTTCTGGTCAAAAAGAGAGAGGAGCAGAGCTGAGAGTGCACGGATAAGCTTACCCGGACGTCCTGCTGTCAGGCAGGCCTTCTTCCAAGCCCAAAAGGGTTGGAGGAAAGGCTTGGTGAGGGGGCAGGCCGTTGTCGCCCACTGCAGCCTACCCAAAGCGCTAGCGATCTGAGAAGCCGACATGACTTTACCGCTTTTAAGCTCTTCAAGAATGCCGATGACAAGCAGGTGCTTGTCTCGGGCCATCTGCACACAGGGTCCTTTTGGGTCAATGACAAAGCCAAGCCAAGTATTAACCTCAGCAAGCAGGGTTTTCTTCCAGCTCAGAGGAGTGCCTAGAGCAAGCAACAGCAAGCAAATCGCTGTTGCCAGCAGAGGGGAATGCGATTTACGGAGTAGCCAGGCAAAGTCGTCGACAAAGACAAAACCCCAGTCGACCTCGGGAAACACGGCATACACAATCCTAAGAAGGATGGCAGCCATCCTTCCCCAGTAGAGCTGGGCACTGGCCATTCCATAGGTGCCTACGGTGTTAACCCACCATTCCTCACCAAGCTGGGCAACTTGGTAACGCCACTCTCTTAGGAGAATCTTGATTCTCCTGTGCGCCTTAGTAACATCAGCTTTGAGCAAAATCCAGTCCTCGTCAGAGCCCGGGAAGCTCCAGGGTCGGCCGGAGCCGGCACTGGAGTCTGCGTTGCCCGAGGGGCCGTCCTGTTCTCGGCTTGTCGCCCCTGGGGCAGTAGCCAGGGTTGCATGTTCTTCAGGATCAGGGCCATGGGCACCTGGTTTCCCACGAGAGCGAGATGCCCGAAGCCAGTGCAGGCATTGGACGCAGTCCATGACCGTCGGGGCCGTGGGTTTCTCTACGGTATTCTGCTGTATACGGAGATTAGCACCGCCCTTAGACCCGTCGAAGATGGAACGGATCTTGTCCGACTCATCAATCCCTGCCATGGGGCAGGGGCAGAGCTCGTCCTCTGCACATTGGCAGTGCGCCGCTGCCTCGGCGCGGGTGCACGGTCCAATGACCATGCCTAAGGGGGTTTCCTCAACAAAGGTGGCCCGAATCTCCTCCCTAAATGTGTCCGCGGAGGAGTAATTGGCATGGCCAGTGGGGGGTGGAGCTTCCACCGGGTCCCACTCTTCACCAATGAGTTCCGACTTCAAGGGCCAGACGCCCGGAGATTGGAGAGTAGGGGTATCCACTCCAAGAGGGACTCCTTCTTTTAGTATCTGCGGATACTCAGCATCGACATCTTGGATGTCACACAGGAGCCTACTGATCACGTCCAAGTGAAAGGGCTGTCCAGCATCCGGTTGGGTGTGCCGGGGCAAGATGAAATCACGGATCTCGATGAGAACAGATTCCGGGAAGGGGTGCTGCTTGGCACCCGCGGCCGTTGAGGCTAGAAAAGAGGGGACCAACGGCCCCGCCTTTTCGCGAATGAACTTGCCCAGAGCAGGAGCCGTCGGTCCTTTGCGAAGGTGTGGAGGGGTCCTACCCGGAGAGGTCTTACCTCCACCATCCCTTAGGGGCCTAACCTTAAAGC